CATGATTCCCATATTGTCTTAACTCTCCCCATTAGATTGTTGGGAGTGGATGATCCTTGTTTAAGATAAAATCTGGTAATGTTAGTTTTAATTAAAACGAGACCAGCGGCATAACTGTTGTCATGGCAACGGCACGACGGGTGTCATTTTGTTTATTTTGTGATGTACATTTCTGGTGCCAAGTTTAAAGAACACTGCTTTAATATTTCTAGAGATATTCTTGATTGAGTATTGAATTGTTTTAGTGGAACCACCTATGACGTCATCACTTATAATACAAAAACGTGAATATCTCTAAAACGAAAAAAGATATTCCAAAAAGGAGAACGCCATTCTTCTTTACTTTGAAAAGCCTTTCAAATCAGCAGCAATTATTTTTTACTTCATAGGCACTTTAACACTCGCTGATCTTTCCTGCTCCTCGTGTTTTCATTTTAGTGGCAAACCCGGGGCTTAATTAGCTGGCCACTGTTGTGAGGTCCTAATCAGGACAATGTACGTGAATCAGTGCACGGTCAGGCCTTGAAATCGTGGCCTTGAAGAGATAATTTGTTAACAACCCTTTCCCAGTCTTCTCTAAGGAAAAAGCCCTGGGAACGAGGTTGATTTTGGCAACCTCGGTTTGAGTATATCGTTCATATGTGACTTCGATTTGGTAATCATAAATTAAACAAATTGCAAAGTAAACATAGCTGGACATTTTGCTAACATTGCCCTGCATGAAAACCTTGACCTAATTCTGGTTGTTATCTTTTCTGATACATATATGTTATTGGCCGGCTGGGAGGTCCGTATAGTGAGAAAACTGCGACCGAGTTCTTGAAAATGCTGCCCGAGGGCAGCATTTTCAAGCCCAAGGTCACAGTTTTTTCTCCTTTTTTTTTCTTGCGGTAAATTGGCTTACAAGTGGGTTTGTTTACGCGACTTTGTTATTGAAATGCCTTCTACAAGTCATTCGTACTTGAAAAAATGCTAACGAGCGAAAGAGCGAGTAACTCAGATACTAGAAAAAGCAAAGATGTATTAAAGAACAGATTTATTTAGAACTTCTTTACGTAAGTTGCATTTAGTTCACCAGTTAAGTTCTCCAAAAGTGTGGTTTTTTTTTTGGTGTGAAATTTCGTGCAAAGTGTGAAGTTGTACTACAAAAAAAAATGTGTCAGCCGTTGCGAATCACTCGAAATCAGACTTTCCAACGTAAATTGAGTAGCAGACAGCGAGGAAAATTCGTTAAGTGTACTCCACAGAAGTATTCTCAAATACAGCATCGATCAGAGAGGTAAACTCGACTGAAATTGACCCACCTGTACGCCAATTTACCGCAAGAAAAAAAGATAAACATGTTATGGCCAGCTTAGGCCCAGTTAAGACGCCGAACTTTGGATGAGCCCAATTTAATTCGAATTTGGACCGACCCAAATTATCAAAAGTACGCCTGTTGATTCAGACGTCGAACTTAAAATGATTCGCCGAACTTAAAGGAGCTCAGTCACGTTTGCACATTTTGAAAAGTTCAGCCTAAATTTTTCAAATTCGTCGTTTGCAATCCGTGTAAATCTTCGCCATCCTTGACCATCCTTGTTCCTTTGTGGTTTATTATTATCTCTTTGATGTTTTTCTGTCTTAGTAACCTACTATTTTCAGGTTTCCTTGCATTTAAAGGAGATTTTGTACGTGGCCAAAAAAAAAAGGACAAAACACCGTGACTGAGCTCCTTTAATTTAGTGTGAACCATATCACATCATAATGTCAGCAATTTTCAGGGAAAGTGTGCACTGCTTATAAAACACGTTATAACAATTTATGCATCAGTTTCGGCACATGAAAAGTTCGACGTCTGAATCAAAGTCGTTGTAAAGCCGAAATTCCCGCCTGAGCCAGGCGGAAAGAACGGCCGAGCTGTTCCAAATTCAAATGACCGTTCTTAATTGATTCAGACGCCGAACTTTTCATGTACTTAATTCAATGTATTAGGTTCGACTCACGAGAAGTTCGGCGTCTGGGCCTGAGGGTCGGTCCGTATAGTGAGGCCGCAGTTAAGACCTCGCATTTTCAAGACCTCGGTCACAGTTTTTCACTATACGGACCAACCCTAAGCCGGCCAATTACATGTTTATTTGCTTCCTTATTTGACTCGTGACGTTCTGTGGAACTTCTGATTGACGAGCATTAAAAAACCTAACCTTCCGGTTATTTTTGCTCTCTTTCACCTAATAAAACAAACTATGTACACGTTTTAATTTTCTTTATAGCTGTTGAATGGTTACGCGTGCATTGTCTGCATATAATGCTGATCTTTGTTTTCGTATTTCAGGTAACGTCATATTTAGTAGGACCTTTGCAGCCCAGAGAAACTTATGAGATCAGAGTAAGAGGGACTTGTTTATGATCTATGTTCAAAATTAGTAATTCAGAAAACCATTTCAAAAGTCAATTGTGTACCTCGTTCAAATATATGATCTTTCATATATTTACTTGCGATGAAGTTTCCGTTTGTGTTATTAATTCATGTAGCAATATTGTTTTGCTCCTTTATGACTCTATGTTTGTCTTGATTCCTACCAGCTTAAACCGAACTTTGAGGATAAAACTCCACCAGGCAATGAAATAAAAGTCGAAATATCTACTCCCCGTAAGTAGAAGAATTATGATCTCAGAAGTGCATCATCCGAATAATAGTCTCCATCAAGTATTCTGTCAATAGCTTGATATGTTCTGGTGCTCTGGTGTACAGACCGATGATTAAAGACCAAGCAATATGATACAGTAGTTAGAACTATCCACTGACCCTTTGTCTTTGTCTTTGGGCGCTCTCCATTCGACCAAAAATTCTGGTGTGAATTCTGGAAATTTTCCGAGTCGAATGAAAGAGAATTTTCCGCTTGACTGCAACAGAGTGAAAAACGCTGATAGACCTGATAAATTTCAGAATTTTTGTTCGAATGGAAACACAGGCGGCCCAAGCGCGAGATGAGAGGAAATAATTAATGTAAATAAAACGTAGATTTAATGTTCTGTGAATAAAACTGACTAACCTTGCTTTTCTGTCGTATTCTTTGTTGTTTCAGGGTGTTTGAGGCCGTTTTGAAGCGTTTTCAGCGAGTTAGCGCTGGTGATGGTGCTAACTCGCTGAAAACGCTTCAAAACGGCCTCAAACACCCTGAAACAACACAGCATACGACAGGAAAGCAGGGTAAGTCAGTTTTATTCACAGAACATTAAATATTAGGTATTTAAAGCAAACCCGTAAAGTTCCCATACAAACCCTTGTAAATCGCATCTTTGTAACACAACACCGCTCGAAGGCAAGAGTCGCGTTCGCGTATGTTTCATTTCCTCTCATCTCGCGCTTGAGCAGCCTGTGATGGAAACCGCCCTTTGTCTTTGTCTTTGTCCTTGTCTTTGTCTTTGTCTTTGTTGCTGTCGCTGTCGCTGTCCCTGTCGCTGTCGTTGTCGTTGTCCTTGTCGTTGTCCTTGTCGTTGTCTTTGTCGTTGTCGTTGTCGTTATCGTTTTCGTTGTCGTTGTCGTTGTCATTGTCATTGTCGTTGTCGTTTTCGTTGTCGTTGTCGTTCTTGATGTCGTTTTCGTTGTCTTTGTCGTTGTCGTTGTCGTTGTCGCTGTCGCTGTCGCTGTCGTTGTCGTTGTCGTTGTCTTTGTCGTTGTCGTTGTCGTTTTCGTTTTCGTTGTCTTTGTCGTTGTCGTTGTCGTTGTCGTTGTCGTTGTCGTTGTCGCTGTCGTCGTTGTTGTCGTTTTCGTTTTCTTTGTCGTTGTCGTTGTCGTTGTTGTTGTCGTTGACGTTGTCTTTGTCGTTGTCGTTGTCGCTGTCGCTGTCGCTGTCTCTGTCGTTGTCGTTATCTTTGTCGTTGTCGTTGTCGTTTTCGTTGTCTTTGTTGTTGTCGTTGTCGCTGTCGTTGTCGTTGTCTTTGTCGCTGTCGTTGTCGTCGTCGTTGTCGTCGTCGTCGTCGCTGTGGCTGTGGTTGTCGATGTCGTTTTCGTTGTCTTTGTTGCTGTCGCTGTCGCTGTCGCTGTCGTTGTCGTTGTCTTTGTCGTTGTTGTCGTCGCTGTCGTTGTCGTTGTCGTTGTAGTTGTCGCTGTCGCTCTCGTCGTCGTCGTGCTGTCGTTTGTCGTTGTCGCTGTCGCTGTCGTTATCGTCGTCGTGGTCGTGGTCGTGGTCGTGATCGTCGTCGTGGTCGTCGTTGTTGTCGTCGTCCTCGTCCTCGTCGTTTTTGTTGTCGTTGTCGTTGTCGTTGTCGTTTTCGTTGTCTTTGTCGTTGTCGTTGTCTTTGTCTTTGTCTTTGTCGCTGTCGCTGTCGCTGTCGTTTTCGTTGTCTTTGTCGTTGCCGTTGCCGTTGTCGTTGTCGTTGTGGTTGTGGTTGTCTTTATCTTTGTCTTTGTCTTTGTCTTTGTCTTTGTCTTTGTCTTTGTCTTTGTCTTTGTCTTTGTCTTTGTCTTTGTCTTTGTCTTCGTCTTTGTCTTTGTCTTTGTAGTTGTCTTTGTCGTTGTCGTTGTCGTTGTCTTTGTTTGTTTTATCGCCAAGTATCGTTAACTTTCATAGCAAGTTAAAGTTAACTCTCTTTTATTTTAAGTTGTGTATTAAAACGTGCAAACGACTTTAACACGATTTCAAATTGACCCGTTTTGCTTTCGACTTGTGTCAGAAATTTGAAGCCGTTCCGCGTGAGCAGAATCGTTCCCGAACCCGTCAGACACACAGTAAAGATATAACAAATATCTTGATAACCTCGTCTTCTCGGTCCGTACTGTAACTTACGGATCCTCATTGTTTTCTCCTTCGATTCATGGCCCGCGCGAATCGCACATGGGCCATAAATCGAAGGGGAAAAAATTAAGTGGATCTGTAACTTACAGTATGGACCTCGAACTCCGTTAGTAAGATCAGCTAAATCGGAACAGTCAGGCCAAACTGTGAAAGAAACAGAAATATCAGAGACGAGACGACATGAACCGTTAAATCTCCATAAAACAACCCTCCAAAGGTTGGAATTGCTCAAAGTTTTCACGGTTGTACAGAAATTACCCGTGTAGATTTTCTTTTTACCTGAGAAATTATTGGGATGAATTCCACAGCTTTGTAGACTTTACGAGTCACTATTTTACGCTTGTGGAAGTTTTTGATAAATTAAACAGGAATTACCCAACAAGCAACAGAAACCAAGCCAGCGATAACAGGGTTGCTAAGAGACGAATATATATGACGTTTAAATTTTAGAAGTTAACTTTAATTTTGTTATGACCTTTTTCTTGAGTTGTGTCATGTTATTGTTTCTGAAAGATCCTGATCCATCACAAGTCACGGTGAGAAGCCTGGTGCTTAATGACTTCACCTTTAAACTTCCAACTGAGACATTCTCACTGAATGTAACCTGGCAAAAACCGTCGTTTAATTACAGCCAAATTAAGTCTTATGTGATTTCGTATCGCGTGGACAATGGAAAAGAAACTAGAACGCAAACAGTAAGTAGTTAATTTTACCGGGACAGGAGCGCTTGATACAGTTACTTCAGACTGTCTGCAATTCATATACAGTACTGATTCATTGCAGAACATTATCCTAGAAAATTAATGTAATAATCTTCGATGAACCTTAAAGGCAATTTAATTCTGAATTTTTTCGTGTAACATTTTTTCGTTTTTAATGAGAATTCCTGCCTCTTTTACATAACTCACTAATTGGACGGTTGCCAAAAAATGAAATTTCTTAATTGATTGATTGATTGATTGATTGAATGATTGATCGTTGATCCATCTGTACGTCTACAGTCACCCATCCATTTAGTCATTCATTTATTCAGTCAGTCAGTCAGTCAGTCGTCCATTTAATTTACGTATTTACTCATTCTAGTCTTGCTACTTATTCTATTTACTAATTTAGCGTTTTTCTAACCCAACTTTTCTTTACATTGCTTTATCAATAAATATTGATTCATTTAGTTGTTTATTTTTTCTCTTCTAGAGCAAAACTTTTTTCAACATTGATGGAATCTCACACGGGCAACCCGTGGCGTTTAATGTAAGTATTGATATTTTTAAGGCCTTAAACCACATGTTGCTTTCTATAGGTCTACGAACGCGTGCTACTTAACTGAGCTAAACACTGTTAAAAAGAATACTGGTAGCTCAAGACAACAACTCGTTGTTTATGATTTTCTCACTGTCGCCTGTCACTTGACGATTTATCAATGTTGTAAAGGGCAATACTTCTTTGGAATAGATTGAGAAAGATATTTGGCGAGAGAAAAAAGTAGAATATAACCAGCTCTCAATAAAATATATAATCAGTTTTTCTTCCACCCGTTTCAGTTAATTCCCAGATTCTCTTATAATTGTCAACCGGTCACTGATACTGGAATGTGTGTATCATTTTTCATAGGTGACACCGCAGTATATCAACAACAGAATACGAGCAGTTCCATCTGTTAAGAAAATTCATGGGCCAGGTTAGTGACTATACAAGTGTGACGGATGACCCGTCCAAACTGAATATAGCAAACAAACCCAAGGCCTCCAGAAAATTCATTAATAAAACTAATGAAAAATTAAATAATTTCAGCGGAAAAATGTTTTTGTTGCATAGCCATATCTATCAAGCCAAATAGTCTAGAATGCCATCTTGTCCACAGGAACACAAGTTGACAAATTTCTCAACTAGCAAGTATGGAATCTCTCTCAACCACTGTGCTATAATTGCATCCATCCGTTTTGCTGTTATCCTAGGATACCCAGCTAGGTTTTGAATTCGGTGGCATAATTTTAGGTGACTAGGAAGGTGCGATACAGTTGGTTAGGATGATTATTTAAGTTTAAGGCTAAACACAACAGCTTACATGTTATTAGTGAGGTGCCATTCGAAAATCAAGACTGGTTTGTACAATACACATACCTATCTGACCAACAAACCATAGAACCATGGAACCACATTATTGTCAATTATGTTTTAATACAAATTTGTAAACTGTAATTGTTTTTTCTCCCTCAAGTACCGAATGATGAAGAGATTTCTGTACAGCAACTGCAGCGTACAGGAGATTTTGTTGAAGACAAACAAACTAACACATTTGCCGTCAACTTCACTTGGAAACCACCATCATTCCAATACAGAGACGTGCTTTATTATAACGTGTCATACGGGTTCTCTGGCTACCCACGTGATCAATTTCCTTGTTCTTCATTGGTCAAGGGCCCGAGATGCATAATAACCGGTGTGGTGAGTGCAACAGAAAATGATAAACAATCATTTCATAATCAGAACCATAACGAATTTCTTTTCCATCTCAAGCTCATTGGCAATAAGATTATAAATATCACCGTTGTATAAATTCGTAAGTGCATACAGTTCTTTTCTTATTAAAGGAGCTCAGTCACGGTATTTTGAGCTATTTTGGCCACATACAAAATTACCTTTATGTCTTCTTTCCTTGTTTCCGAAATTATAACTATGAAGCTGTACCTATGTCAAATTTTCTAGGTCAACAGTCAAGCTTTGTTTGCTAGAGCGCTTAAAGAAATCGAAACCAGACAAGTCGTTGTTGGGATAAATTTTGGCCACGTAGAATGGCCGATTTGTTGATTAAAACTAATATGAAATACAATATAACGAATTATTGTTTGTTAACCTCTTGCAAAGGTGAGGGCACGAGAAAAAAGGAGAAGTGCCTATATCACAAATACATAATATAAATGAGTTGGAGGAAGGGAGGAGGAGGGTCGAACTCGCTGAGTGTGTCAGGTCTGGAGACAAAGAGGACGAACTCGACAAACATGCCACGTCTTATACCGATCGCTGAAAGCGAGGCTAAGTTATTTTCCAGTGAAACTCGTGACTATTACCAATGAATTCGCTACTGTCATCGAAGTCATAAGATTGTCTTGAGATGGTCTTTTGATTATTGCTCAATCAAGTTTGTACTTGGTGATCCCGTCCCCATTTAGTTCGACCCTTCAGTACTCCCAGCCTTTCCTCATTATCTTAAACTCCTGGTTGAAAATTAACACTGTGTTTACAGTAATGCCAGGAGCGTGGGTAGAAGCTATAAACGCTTTTATTTGGTGGCAAATAAAATTTATTTAAATGTTAGGAAACCTGAAAATAACAGTTTAATAAGATAGAAAAACACCAAAGAGATAATGATAAACCATAAAGGAAAAAGGAGGGCTAAGGATGGAGAAGATTAACACGGATTACAAACGAATTTGAAAAATTGAGGCCAAACTTTTCAATATGCGCAGATCGTGACGTAGCTCCTTTAAAGTTCTTAATTTTGGCGTTTTCTTCGTGAAGCAAAGCTTACATAGCTAGTTCTTATATCGAAACTTGGCAGTCAGAATGCTTTACATATAATTACAACGGAATATTAGGTCATTATAGTGCCGAGTCATTTTAAGTTCGCTGCATCTACGACATTGAGATGATGCAAACATAAGAAATTAACAAGGGTAGTTCTAAAACAATTCGCGGGAGATGCAAGGTTGAATATGGGGAAGGCAACTCGATTTATTCAGAGATAATTAGAGGGGTACTACTGACAGTGTGTAAAGAAAATAAGCTGCGAAAATGCTAATGCAAGTCTTGTATGGATTCGTTACTTAAGGATCAAACGTGTCACTATTTTAGCAAAGCCTATTATTAAAATTTTACTTTGGTGGAACGCCGAAAGAAAGCAATAACCCGTTGTTACATGTAATAATCTCTAAATTACTTTACTTTTTTAGTTGAAAACTGTAACTCAGGGTGAAGATAAGAAAAGTACAACGTTTATGTTATTATAAGGAGTTAAAAATAAATAAATTATTGAAAATTATGTCGTCGTGTTCACAGAAAGAGACGATATTTATGTTATCAGGAATACTTCCACAAGATCATGTCATCATCGAGGTAAGCTTTACACTGTAAAATAACCTCCTGATGTTTTAGATAGATCAATTAAGAAAAGATAGTAGGTTGTGGTTATTGATAGACTGAGATAAAATAAAGGATTTCGCTTCACTGGTCAGTTTGTCTTTGTAGGTGACACCTGTTTACAGGGACAAGTATATATTGGGGAAAAAGCGACAACAAGAAGAGATGGCTCCGGGTGAGTTATCAAGATTTTATCACGTTGTATGTGCTAGACCAATTAGAAAACAAACACAATAATCAAATTTATAATGGTTAGGTAGTTAGACAAGGTCTATTACGAAAACCAGGAAAGGAGAGGAAAGTCGAAAGAGAGTGAAAAGAAGAGTGGCCAGCTCAACTGCAGTGAGCTTGTGATACAAAACTGATACACCTCTTGGATAGCACTTGCTGCAATACAAAACTTACTGCAATGACGAAATTCGAAGAACGAGTACGAAGGCAGTGAATTTTCTACTCGTCTTCCATATCCTGCTGAACATATTTCTGACATCGCAATTCAAAGATAATTGATCGCAATGACTCAAAAACTAATTTATTTTTTAATAACTGGTCTTCATAGTTGTTAAGTTTGTTAACCCGGCTTGATACTTGCCTTCATGTATCAAATCGTTTCTCTAATGTGAGCTGGGTATTTCAAAAAATCACGGTTTAGAATAATATCACTGTCGCTTAAACAAAAAACCCTGTAAAAAATGTTGTTTCATGAGAACAAAAGTTTCAAAATTGCTACATTCACTAATTTATTTACTACAAAGATTAACACACCTCACTGAGAAAGTGGAACGACTCTTAAATGTCCCGTAACTTGTTTTATTTATTCTTAGTACAACTTACCATTCCAAATTACTATATTTACGTTTTACAGGCCCTAGAGAGGAATTATTGAAAGTTGTTGGACTGAGCCACGATGCGCTAGTTCCCAGTTCTAATGAGTTATTCGGCACAAAAGTGTCGTGGCAAAAACCACTTTTCAACCACAGTGCAGTGAACCATTACAGTTATAAAATAACCAATGGCACCGACAAACTTGTCAGAAATAAAGTACGACGAGCCATTGATCTCAACACCGTGTTTACAACGGTAAGTGAGACGATCTGTGAAACAGTTCTTCTAGGAACTTTTAAAACACTTATCCAGCCCCAATGTCGGCAAGGAAATGAACCCAGATGGTATCATATACAGCTTTTGTCCTGAATGAGAAAAATTCATCAAGGTGGATCGCTTACCCAACAATTTCGCCGCTTTCCTTCTTTAAATTTTAAATTAAAGCTTTCCACAAAAGAGAATTACATCTTTGGTATTCTATTACAGTTGGCCATAAAGTTATTTTAGCTAAAATATTTAGAATAAGCCTGTAAAGATTCTACCTACGAACAGCGTAGCATCTCTATTTCGTCAGAATCATTTGCACTGGCAACACAAAATGGAAAAAGGTACAACTTCTTTTTACCTATTGAGACAAATGACCACTTAGTGACAGTGTCACTTTTTGACATTTTAGCACGAAGTTGACAATTAATTTATTAATTTCAATTATCAAAAAAAGTGTTCAGAACCAGCCTAAATTCATGAAAAAATAAGAAAGACTTGACGCCTTCTTTTCAGAAATGGCAAAAAATCAGCTTTGTTAGTTTCAGAAATCAGTTCTTCGCGCAGTGTCAAAGTGATTGCCCGAAAAGATCACGAGTAGACCACTGTCGTAATATTAGTTTAGATTTGTTGTAGGCCGGGTATTAAAATTCTATTGACACCTCTGAAAAGATCACCTTCAACTTTTTAAACTGCCAAGTATGAAAGGCATGCGTTTTTAAACAGCGAAGATATAGAAATCTGCGAATGTTACAGACAGACTTTCACACTTAGCCACTTGACAAATTTCAAGGTGACTTTTCTTCGGAGGTATCCATGGATTTCAAATACCTTGACAAAGGTCTGTTGCGTACGGTACACTTGACTACTTTTGATGTTCCCTTGACAACCAATTCTGACGTCATCATACGCCGATAATTCTATTCACCAATAAATTTTGACAGATTTTTGTTAAGCGTGCTTCGTCAGTATCATTGAGATAGATGTGATAAAATGCTAAAGATGGGTCGTATTGTGTATTATCGTTACAAAACTTCCAACCACCTATTATGTCCACTAATAGTACTAACTTTTTACCTGTGCTGTAGAAATACACAAACGTCACCATTGACGGGATTCAGCTGGGTAAAGCAATTGAATTTAAGGTACTGGAAAAAATGTAAAAACCTAGTTCTTTTATTGCCTTTGTGTTCAGTTCCCCCACCCCTCCACCCATGCATTTTTTTCATTTTTCAAACTGATGACCTCTGATCGCATGCAGGCCATTTTCTGGTCGTTTCGCGATGAAAGAAAGAGGACGGATCCAGTCAGTGAAATCAGGGACTCTGTTGATACCAGCCTATGGCTGATGGGGCCACCCTGACTAAATAAAGTCTGCAAGGGACTTGCTCAATTAAAAACTTAAGTGTGAGATTTTTCTCTCTTACGCTTTATCCGCACTTCATAATTGCATGATATATTTTATTAATAGAGATTATTTGTCATATTAAACAAAGTCCACTACCGCCACGTCCCACGTTACAGTGTCAAATCCTCTGCTTGTTTGTATGTAGTATTCAATCTTTCGTCTTTCGTTTTCAGGTCACTCCCGTATTTGATGTGCACATGGTGACTGGTAGAGAAGCCTCGATTGCTATTCTCAAGGCTGAAATAGGTAAGTCCAATTTTTGTTCCTGTCAATAGGAACTCTTATCAAGCCAAAACACACAAAACGTCTTTCAGTTCATTGCCATACGTCGCACAAACAAAATGGTTTCAAAAGGTGCAGAACATCAACAAATTTAAAAAAACTTTTTGATTGAAAATAAACTTGTTATTTTCTTGCCCCTTTTCAGAACACGCGAATTTCACAGTGAAGAATTATCTTTGTCAATTGTAATGATATTCACGTATGATCTTTAGCTTTTCGGCTAAGGAACAATTCCTTTTGGAAAATCATACAATCTGAAATACGGCAACAAACCCATTTAAATTTACATATCCTTGTCAATTTGCATTCTTTACAGTCGAAATTGTAGAATAAACTTTTAACGGCCCATAGGCCCGTTTCTCGAAAGCCCCGGAAACCTTTCGGGCCCGTAAAAGTATTTTTAGTTCATCTGTATCTAAAAACGGAGAATTGCATACCCCTGAAACTTCTTGTATGAAGGGACTTCTGCTCATATTAAGAATTTGTGAATAAAACAACTCTGTAATCGTAAGGTTCGAGATTTTGCTATGGCTTTGCGGGTGCAAAAACGTTTCGGGACCTTCGAGAAACGGGCCCCATGTCTCTTCGCCAAAAAACACATGGCGTCTTAGTGATTAGATCAGTTGGATTTGAAATCGAAATGTCCTTGGCCAAAAACCAGCAGCTGTTATTGTTTTGGGGGTAGTCTCGGTTGTGTTCTATTAACGATAATTATTTAGCGATACGGAGTTACACACATTAATGTTTTTAAAACTGAGCACGAACTTATAGAATTGGTATGGAGGAATCTTTGTTCATAATATTGTCTCATTAGCGGCGCTGCTCAAACTACAAAAACGTTAGCTCTGAACATTGAAAGGGCGACACGATCAAGGAATTAGAGCTCGACGTCTTGAATACTTCTTGTGCGACGTGGGTTTAAAACCTGAAACTTTTACAAAGAATGTATCAGCTCATTAGCCTTTTTGCCACCTCCGTAGAAATTTTGCATTTTTTGAAAGCCAGTTTCTCCTTGAATATTACACCCAAAGAACCCAAAATTTTACAGATTACTAAGCTTTCCAAGCTCTTTAGATGCTCGGAGTCAATTTGTATCTACCATGATGTCTTCTCAGTGCAAAGTCGTCTGTTATGAGGAAAATGTAAACAATGACGTTAGCAAAGATCGCTCTTTTTTTATGAAATATTAGTCTACTGGAGACAAAGTAACAGATGTCATTAATTTTAAGCGACAGTAAGGAAGCCGAGATGCGAAGCGCCGTTCCATTAATAGGAATGGTACTTTTGGCTCTTGTTAAAAACTCACACATTTTTCATCAGGTGAAAAGGAATCCAGTTCCATGACTCCTGGTGAGATTGCGGGACTTGTCATAGGCTTACTGCTGTTAATCCTGATTGTAATCTGCTCGATGGTTTGGTGCCACAGAGAACGACAAAGGAAAAAGGAGGCCAAAGGACTTGTTTCTGGGTAAACAGCATTATATTTTCGTTTAAGGCTTCAAAATAAACCAAATTGACTCTATATGAGCCGGACACCTCTCGAGGAACAGTTGGGGCCAGTCCGGACGGTGTTTGTCTTGAAAAGAGTTGACTGTACATTCCCTCAGAGGTAGCACACGTTGAAATGCAACCCAGTGAAGTGTTTTCGTGCTTTGCAGCAGAACACTTTTTAAAGCAAAAGCGGCGATCGGGCTGTGGGCCGTCTCTGTTTGGCCGAAATAGGCCTCTTGTATAGTTGGATTCAGTTATCAACCTTTCGCGAGTGGCTGATCCCCATGTTTTTCGCTTTTACCCTACCTGGGGTGTGGAGGAAAACAGATACTTGATCTTCTCTTGATACTGATCGCTGTCTATGCAGCTAAGAACTGCTTTGCATAGGAGCAAACAAAGCTTTAGTGCGGCAGATACCATCTTATTTAAAGAAAGGAAACCATGACCGTGACTGTGTTTGATCTTAATCAGCATAGGATTATACGACTTTATTTCTCAGTTTTTTTTCTTAGTTTTCGTTTAGATTGAGGAGATATATCAAACATCCAAGACAGTGTTTTAACACATTACCAAACACCTCGATGCGCGTCATATTTTCGACTTTATCTCGGTGTTTGGAAATTTGGTCAACACAGTCTTTCGTGTTTGATCTATTACTTCCCAGTTCTCTGAGCGACTAGGACCCAATGTCCACGCATCCAGGAAGTCTACTTTGTTTCACAAAAACAAGACTGGAAACTTTCAATTCGGAACTATTACTGATAACAAACATACATATATTATTGGTAAAGTGTTGATCAACAGTGATCATTCTTTTGGTGTCAATGACAAATACCACCATGAAACAAAATCATAGGAATGACCTGATAAAGTAACTATTTTATCTCTTGCTTGGTTTTCACCAGCAAAAACGCGGTAATGATTGATCACTGGGAGGTAGATGGCAATTTAGTGTCCTTGGAGAAGGAGCTTGGAGAGGGGGCCTTTGGTAAGGTGTACAAGGGAGCCCTCAAGGAACATATTCCGCTTTCTCAGAAACTGTCTTGGAAGACACCTGTGAACACCTCACGAACTGCAACCATCAAAGGAAATGAAATGTTTACGGTTGCCGTTAAAATGCTTCATAGTAAGTATATCAAATGTATTGTTTTCTAATCTTTTAGTTACAACTGGTAGGTTACAGATGATTGCATGTATATTTCTACGTATCATACTTTTCTTGAGCTCAGTTCGGCGATCGGTGAAAACTAACTCTCAGGGGAAAAGCTTCTATTGTCAAGGTCAAAACCTCTGTGCTAGTAACTTAGAAGAGCCTTGTTCCAAGAGGCCTACTTTTTTTAAATAATAAGACAATAAATCTTATCGTGTGCTTACCGATGTAAAAAAAATCTTAAAGTTTTCCTCTGATGAATTAGATATGGCCGATGGCGACCAAAGAAGAGAATTTCTCGAGGAAATTCAACTCATGAAAGCTGTGGGATCACACAAGAATATTGTTAACATGCTGGGATGTTGTACTGTGGAAGAGCCAATGTTCCTACTGGTTGAATATGTTCCTTGTGGTGACCTGTTACATTACCTCAGAAAACACAGGAGCAAGGTTCTAAATAACATTTTATATTTTCATTGATAATTACGTTATAGGTGGTGTCAGCTTCATGTTTTGCTACTTTATTCTTTCACATGAATCTATCTAGTAAACGATTTTATTCATATTTGTATTTGCTATCCTAGGTCAACGAATATCTCGGAGATGATTCTAGAGGGCCTTACCGTTCAACGTACTGCGAAACTTATTTTACCGATGGGAATCCCACAGGAATATCTGTGAAGGTAAAAAACGCATGCAACTACCAGACTCCATGTCTCGCAACTATCAGGATCTATCTATCTCAAATACTTTTCCTTTTCTTATGTGCTTAGTACGCATAGTTCATCGTTCATTGTAACTATATATATTATTGTATTTTACAGCATTAGGATACATGTATATACAACAGCTGCGTTGTGCTCTTCCGCCTAATCTACCTAATCTCTTCCTTTTTAGTTCATCATGTTGTTGAAGTTTTTTAACAAAAACAACTGCAAAAGGGATTAATTATTTACATGTTATTTATCATTATTTTATTTGAATAGCTGCTTGTTTGTTTGTTTGCTTGCTTTTTCATTTGTTTGTTTGTTGTGTTGATTGGTTGTTTTGTTCACGATTTGTTTGTTTGTTTCTTTCGTTCGTTCGATTGTTCTTTTTATCGATGGGTCGGTCGGTCGGTTAGTTGGTTGGTTATGTTTATGTTTGTTTTTCTGCATCGTCACATAACTTTTGTTATTTCTTTTTCTTTTTTTGGAAAGACAACTAAAAACGACCGCATCTACGTCAATGCTCCAAACATGCCAAAAGAAAAGAATGAGAATATCCAACTTCTATCTTTTAATTCTCACAACGCTGAAGGTCCTGGAACTGGCGAGGAAAACAAAGGCCTAGATACTCAGGAAAAGGAGGACGAGCAAGACAATAACGAAGAAATCTTAACTCCAGGAGATTTAATGGCGTTTGCTTGGCAAATTAGCCAAGGAATGGTAAGCAAGAGTTGATAAAATTTGCAAAGATTGTTTAGATGGAATGTAGTAGTAACTACATGAATTATGGTTAAGTAGGTCAGCGAGTCTCATTTACCCAGCATATTGCAATGCCAATCGAACCATGTTAAGTGTCTGAGGAGATTTTTTCCTTTTGATTATATTTTCAATTTTAGAACTATTTTTTATTTATTTGTTCTCAGGAATACCTTACAAAGAAGGGATTTGTCCATCGCGATTTAGCAGCTCGCAACATCCTTGTTGGGGAAAAGAAAATTGCTAAAGTGGCAGATTTTGGCCTAACTCGTCACGTGTATGAAGAGAAAGTTTACCATGCAAAGAGAAACAGAAAACTGCCATTGAAATGGATGTCAATCGAAGCCATCTTTGATCAAACTTTTACAGCACAGAGTGACGTGTAAGTATTTTAAAAATTTGGTAGGACCAAAGGGTAAGCCCATAAACTTTGTATCGATGAATGTACCTCTATTCAAACGTTTTATTAAGGCCCCGACCACAATAATGCATTTTCGGGGAAAAACGCATACTTTTTTATGTGTTCTCGCACTTACCGGAAAAGCTGATGAAAATGAGGGTTTTCAAAAAGTGTAGCCTTTTGAAAACGCTCCGTTGCTGGTGTGGATAGGTGAAAACGGTGCCGAAAAATTCCATCAACGTTTTCGGGCGTTTTAGTGTGGACGATAGGCGAAAACGTATCAAAAAGTATGCGTTTTCATACGAAAACGAACAAGTGTGGACAGGTGAAAACAAAACGAAAACGCTAGTGTGGTTGAGACTATTTTGCTTCGCTTTAGTTAAGACGAAAACGGATATTTTCAAAAACGCATTAGTGTGGTCGGGGCTTAAGATTTACACTGCTCTTCTTTTGTCCTCGCAGATGGGCTTTTGGAGTTGTCCTCTGGGAGCTAGTGACTCTTGGTACGTTGAAAAAAGTGGATTATGTTTTGGCTGGAAATATCAAATGTAGCTTTATCAGCTCGAAATAAAGAATATGAGATAATAACGAACAATAGCAAAAGGGTACGCTTCTCATGCCACATAAGTGCACGGTTTTGGCAATTAGGTAACACTTCTAAACATTGACTGAAAGTCCTAATTTTTTTTTTAGCCATGCACTCTTGTCAGAGAATATCTGGTACACATTTGTCATTTTCTCTTTTTTTTCAGAACGTGACAATAGGCAGACACGAACTGAATTGCCCTTAAAATGAAATACTTTTTGTCTGAAAACTAGCAAGTCCGGAAATCTCTATTCCACTTCTACTTTCATATGAAGCTAGTTCATGACAGGATTCAGAGATATTTTCTTTTTTATGCCAACAGGTGGTACGCCGTACCCTGCAATCGACAACAAAGAGCTGCTTCGCCTGTTGAAAGATGGATATCGAATGGAGAAACCAGACACATGCAACGATGACCTGTAAGTAAATACCTCGTAATATGATTCACAGCATAAAGGCCCCACTTACGAAATACTTGGATGAAAACGTTATTGACAACTTTAACTTTAGTCGGTGGTTTACGTACTTGAAGCTAGAGGATTTAGTCATGTTTTATGGCACTTTGCTTCGAGGGCTGTTAAACGTAGGCTTGACTGTCTTGGCTGTCAACCCTGAGACCGATACACGATTTACCTAACACTGTAGAAATCAGAAATTAAACACTAAGTTGATCTCCACGTGCAAGACTTAATCGACAATCAGGACAAGACAGTTGTGTAATCTAAAAGACAATCATGTCCTGAATTATGCCATGCTTGACAATTTCCCCTGCCATATTCAACCTGGTCATAATTTTCTGAGAAGTCTGTAGTTGAATATTGACATTTGCCCAATATTAACTTACCGCAAAATTCTTTAGCTACAACATGATGACAGATTGCTGGAAGAAGTGTCCTGAGGCGCGCCCGACTTTTACTCAAATGAGACAGAGACTGGAGGAGATGATGCAAAAGGACAATCCGTATTTGGATTTGAGTGCTCTGGATGAAACAAAAGAATACTACAATGTGCCTTCATTTAACAGCCTTACTGAAGAGTCCACGGACGACTTGTTTGATAAAGACGATCAGGAGTGCCGTCAAGATTCTAACGAAAATAAGGAACTGGGAAGTGAGAAACCTACTGGAGATTCAAATGGAAACGAAACAAAAAGCTTTGAGCAAATAGAGGAGAAAAAGAACACAAAAAATACAGTAGCTTACGATGGGTATGGTAAAATCGATGATCGAGGTGGTAAAAATGTGACGATCAATTTTGATGAGCTAGAAATGAGCGTGTACAGACCGGCAGCTCGAGTAACGGCCTCCTAGCGTTTCACATAGGATATCAACCTGTCAGTTAACTGTCAATGTCAATTGTCAGAAATACCGTTATCTAGCCTAAATATAGTCAATTTTTAGGATTTGCAAGGGCGTACCTTGCTACTTATTGCTAGCTTATATTGGAATAGAAAGGTCCACTGGTATTTTCTTTTTAAAGTTTCCTTTGAAAAGACAACAACCGAACCGGTGAAACTGAATTACTAGACTGATGTTCATCATTAGCTGCCTCCCTAGGCGAAGGCTTAAATGGTTAACGCTGGACGCCGGAGAAAGCAGTCCGACTTCAAACCCTTGCCGAGGTCACTGCGAGGTCACTCTCAGGACACAAGTGAGTTGAAGGCCGAGGCGTAACCCTACCATAGACGTACGACTGGCATCTCATCCAGGGGGGAGTAGAAATACTCCTAGTTGCTTATCAGTGCTATGGAACCCGGGCTAAACCCCAGTAGAACACTTGAAACACGTAGCACGAGGCAGACTTTGCCGTCCCTGGCTTCAAAAATCCAACGACGACAAGTTATTGATTGGTAGACTGCGTAAGTTAGTTCACGAAAAACTTTATTTTGACACCCGATGTTTTGTCTGACGGTTGAAAACTGTTGAGAGCAAAACTTTACATAAGAACTTCAAACATTATCGAACTTACAGCTTTATAGTTGAATACACATAGTATCTTCAGCCTCCAATATTTAAATGAAAGGTATCATTTATCATTTTTGAATTGCATAAAATGCAATTTAAAACTGAATAAAATACATATTAATAAATATCTCACTGACTGTGAGAGATGTAGAAAGTGAGGCAATCAAGTTCCAGTTGGTTTAGGCAGAGCGAACATGGAAGTGCCGTGGTAAACGTTTCTAGACTCCCTTCCTTGCTCGAACCATTCCTTCATGTTTTTGTTGGCCCACTCTACCTCGAGCCAAATGCCCATGGCCTTACTCTTGGCGCAACACTTGCGTAGCTTGGCTTTACACTTGTCCTTCTTACCAAGCAAGAGATTGTGATAAGCGAGTAAATGAAGTCGACGAGCTTCAAACAATGGGTGATGACCAAGAGCGTCCTTGAGTTTCTTCAGGTTCTGAAATTAAAACAAACGTGAAATGTAGCTACTAACTGACTCAGGATCGGAAGAAGTTATGTAGAAAACGGCTGGCAAAGGAAGCTTTGAACCCATTCGCCATATTCTTTCGATTAAACGCAGGGTCGAAAGCAAGCGGCAGATTTACAAGGAAAATCTGGAATAAGCCACTCGAGCATTTATTTGGGGTGAAATAACCTTTAGTTCGGACTCAAATAAACCGCCGGAGTCAAATAAAAACCGAGTCCATTGCCGAGTATTTAATCGAGAAAATACGGTAGTTATAATAGGATCGATTACCAGTATACTCGATTACCAGCCGCTGTTCGGAAAAAGAGCCCGCGCTCCTCCCCCGAAATGGGAGGAACGTAGACCGGACTCGAGAAAGCGGCGGAAATCGAGCCTATAGTTAAGCATAATATAACTTGAGTAAGGCAGATGGTGTCCTCATTAACGTAGCTCTCCCAGGATTTACTTACAGTCTGTCTGCATGATACGTATCATTTTTAAGTAAACAAGACTTCAATGGAATACACCGGGCCAACTATTGGAACTCATTTCAGTTGCAGGTTTCCACATCAACGCTGAAGTTTCATGATTGTGGTGGATTTACTTGTAGCCTGCGAACGCACACGTATTTCCGGCTGTGGCTCGTCTCCGTCGAAAAATAACGTCTGCGAACCCGAGCCAGAAAACAATATCTCTGACGTAATTTTAAGCCAATCACAGTTTAGCTCAAGTAGCCCCCGAACTACTGCGCGAGGTATTCGCTGTGGGGAGCACACGAGTTTCATTTTATCATGGAATCTGATTGGCCAAGGAGAAACAAAAGTCACTACGTCACAGAAATCGTTTCCTGGCTCGGGTTCGCAGGCGTTATTTTCGGCGGAGACAAGCGACAGCCGGAAATACGTCTTCGTTCGCAGGCTAATATACTTGTAGTAAGCCCGCAAATTGTGTCCCAAACTATTCTTGGGAAAAAGCCTAATTATCAATCTGCGTCACATTTATTAGTAATTTATCGTTCGCTCCCGGGATTCTACCGTAGGCAGAACTCAGAATAAGCTAGAGTCAAAATGAGAAGAACCATCATCAGTCAACGAGAGATTAACTGAGCTTTGGTGCATAAACACACTCTGAAAAGCGACAGGTTTATTAGCTGAACGTTTCTGCCCTAGTAAAAAATGGGTTTTGACTGGGGAAGAAAACGACTGATTTCTATTTACATAAATCGATTGCAAATCTGAGGTCCTGTCCAAACTACGCCGGAGGAATTTGAAAACAAAGGTTTCCCTATGAAAACGCATCAAATGTTTTGCGTCCACACTACGCAGGGAAATTTGAAAACGTAACAATCACCGGTCATTTTGGATTTGTGTCCGAAGAAAACTCGGTCAGGAAAATCACATAATACTCTTGTCATCTTTTTCGAAAACTTCCGTTTACAAAAAGTTTCTCGTCCACTCTAAAACGCGAAGCCATTGTTTCCAAATTCCTCCGGTTTGAAGAGCGTTTCGAAAAGCTTTGTTTTGGCGATGGATTAGTGTGGACGGCAGGCCTAACCGTAGAAATACAACTGCATTTTTAAATTTCTCCGAAGCAGTGTCAACGGGGCCTAATTCAAGGCAAGAATATCATGTCAAACACTGAAACAAAATTTCGCTTACCTTCTCCACTTCATGTTCATTTCGTTTGTTTTTGCCTTCGTGTTGAAGTTTTAGCAGCCAAAATTCCACAATCTTAACAAAGCCATGAACAGACATAAACCCCTCGAATTTGGAAGGCTCTAGGCCAAGAGACAACAATTAACATTTACGATTTGTACAGTATCATGATTAGCAATGATTAAAACGCTTATGATGAATATATTCGAGGCAACAATGCAAGATAGAAAACGCTCGCTTTGTTTCCCACGTGGAGTATAGTAAGAAGTGTGCTTTGGCAAGTGATTATTTTAGTCCTTTTTCAGAGCGGTGAAAATGAAAATTACTGTTTTTGAAATATTGTTTGGTTTGAAAATAGGCAGTGTCTGAACGGACTTGAAAGAAAGGAGACAATTTTTTTAAACTTGAAAAAAGATATGGCCGATCCCAAAGATTTGTTCGTCAAGTCATGTTTTTCGTGATTCTTTCTTCAAGGAAAACCATTTGCACAGATGGTCTATTCTTTACACCTAGGAACATTAAACTCGTGATTTCTTTGAGAAATAGGCACATGACCTACCAGATCGTTTGCTCGTTATAGCTAGGTTAGTTATTTCCGTTATTTGTAATGTACTGTCTTTACAAGTAACTTGCCGTGGCTCGCAAACAACGTACCAGAAGCAGTAGCAATGTACACGTCAGCATTCTCCCAATCCCGCCTTCTAGCATACCTGTGTAAAAACAATTACATTTCAGCTTTACTTTCATTTTAAGATCGGAAGTCTTTCAACATGATGTAGTCAGTCATTCAACAACCTTTTTTCCATCATAAAAGGTAATAACCCAATTTCTATATATCGAGATTCTAACTTTCCTCCAAGGTTTGGAAGAAACTGCTTCGACGTTGAGACATGAACAATTAATTTATTTTTTATTCCCTTTAGCCTCTAAGCCAAGTTAGAATTTTATGATATCGAAGCTGGTCTTTTAGAAAAAGAGGACCCAGCGTGGAATGAAAGTGTATCGGGGATTGCCTTGGAGAGAAGAAGAGATGGTTATGGGGTTTTTTGTTTGCAACCCGATTAAAGTAAATCCAAAATAACTCTTGCAAAAAGGTGGTTTGCAACTATTATTATGTACGCTTTGGAATTTACTTAAGAACAGAAAATATAAACATAAAACATTACAGGAAAGCCACAAGACTAAAATGGAAATTCATGATAGTCCTGGTGAGCATAATCATGCTTTGAAAAATTCGGATACCCACATACCGGAAAAAAAAGGCAATCAACCTAGAATGCGCCTATACAACATTCTCAAACTCATATCAAGTTTAAACAAAGGAAATCATGACCGTGACGGTGTTTGGATATCTGATTTCAATTGATATAGATTTTTACGATGTTATTTCTCCGTTTTCTCCTTAGTTTTACTTTTTTTTACTAAGATATATCAAACACTCAAGACACTGTTTGACCATATCTCCAACCACCTCGAAGTTTGTCAAAAATACTCCGCTGTGCGTCGTATTTTCAAGTCTCTTCTCGGCGTTTGGAAATGTGGTCAAACATGGTCTTTCATGTTTGATATATTACATCAAAACGTGCAACTAACACGTACCACAGTGCCAGAGAGGCATTGAGATAAAACTTTGGCACCACATCAGACGAGAAAGCCGGATCAGTTGACATTTGTGTTGTAAATTGCATGATTTTGTCCACGTCCTCCAGTTGCCAACCTACCAGACATTGTAAAATAGCAAAAAAAAGATTTAGATGCCAGAAATGAATCTCTGAAGGGCAACACCAATATTAAACTTGCTGTAAATGCTTTCAGCCCCTAAATTTATCATTAAAGACCACTTTATTCAGTATTCCAAATCTATTGTTGTTGTAAACGCAACAATTCTTTAGTAAACTGGTATCTTGCGTGATCACCATACATTACCTGCCTCAAGGATCAGATCAAAGCAACAACATATATAAAGCGCTTGGCCATGAGAGTCACAAGATTCCAATGCTGCGGTGTTTAGCTCCTTAAGAACCTCGATGCAATCAGGAATCCTACGCACGGAAAGCAACAATAAAACATACATGTAAATTTTCAGTCAGAAGATATACGTATGGGTTATTGACCAAGTGTGAGGTCAAGATGGCTGGATATTGGCCAAGTTCTTTTTTTGCGNGCAAGATAGCTCCATCTTGCCCGCTCGGGGAGCCAATCACAGCGCAGGATTTGATTCATCTTGCCCGCTCACGGAGCAAGCCATATAATAAAAACGGGTATCACTAGGACTAGATCAAAAGGTCCGTTCCTGTCCTAAGAACTGGACGAACTAGTTGATCTAGTTTTCATTTTTATGGCCTGAAGCTGATATTTTCGAAATAGCTTTTGACCTTAGCTCACAAATCTTGAGAGTGGACTTTAAGAAATTTCCTCAACAGATTCGAGTATGAGCATTTCTGGCACGTAAAGACAGTCAAATATGAAACACCGTGAGAATGTTATGTGTGACAGTGGCGGGCCCATACCTCTTTATAAGGTGGGCCCCCCCAAAGTTTTTCTTGCCATTTGGACCATAAATTAAGGCGCAAGCCCAACAACTTTTCGGTTCTTTGGGCCCTTGAGTATTTACGTCAATAAGAGGGGGTCCTACTGTAAATTCGCCACCGAGTGAATATGAGTACCATAAGGCGAAATAACAACAGCCTTGCATACTTAGCTGTGAAGAGTAGGCTCTGAGCAAGAAGAGGAATGCAGGTTGCCATCATATGCTGATCATGAACTTGTTTCGCGATATCGAGGGCGTGCTCTCCTGAAGGGAAAAAATGACTCTTGACTATTGCATGCTTTTGGTTTTTGGGTATGCTTAGCTTTAGGGATCAGACCTGCTTCTTTGTCAATCAAGGATGACTTGTCCCATTGAAGTATTCTTTTGTTTGGTAATTTTTAATATCGTGCTTCAGTATTCATGATGCACCCGAGAGATTTGGACAAGACGAAACGGTGCTAGTGGCTAAAGGCGAAGCTGTAAGCAACTCTAGCTTCTTAAGTGCTCTCCAAACTTCCCAAGTGCGTCATAACTCGATGATGTACGTACAACTAAAAGCATGACTTTTTTGATAACATTGGCAATGGAAGTAGCGAACTGAATTTCACTTAACTCATTCCATGCATGATTGGATTATGATTCACACTTACGTATTTTTTGATAACTTTATTGTGTTTGCTAACACTTTCTGAAACTCGTCAATAATTCATCAAGATTAAACAAAGGAAGTCACGATCGTGACAGTCTTTAGATATCTTATCTTAATTAGCATAGATTTTTGCGGTTTCATTTTTTTGTTTTCTCCTAAGTTTTAGTTTTGATTGAGGAAACATATCAAACAAGAAAGACCGTGTTTGACCACACGCCAAACACCGAAAAGAGAGTTGAAAATACGACGCGCAGCTGAGTATTTTGACGAACTTCGAACTTTACACTCCTTATATTTAATTTAAATACAATAAAGCTACTTCAACTGTACTTACAAAACAACACTACTTACAATACTAACACAGCTTCTTTACCCTACCTACAATAAAATACGAATTTTTAACAATTTTTTTTATGGAACTATACATTTAATTGAATATTATTCTAATTGTGGTATGAATAATGAGGGTTACATGCATTCTTTGATTGGTAAATAAAGAGGTTTTCTGTTCAGCGTCGAAAGTAATCAGAAAAGTACTTTGGTTTTGGTTTTACTAGAGTTAGAGATTGGCTGAGTAGTCTAACCATACCTATCGAACTATTGTCTAACTGTTAAGTAATTGCTTTGGTTTTTGGTTTTACGACACTAGATTGAAAATCGCTCTAGCTATGGATTATTTTTGAAAACTCCTTGCAGTCCTTTCATTACAACAATATACATTACACTTTGTTAATTGCATATCCTTTCACTAATCTAGCACCTTTTGGGAGTATTAAACAACTGAATGGATTTCATCACACGTATGACAATCACATGACAAACCTGAGCTGATAGCCGCTGACAATCCGCCAATTGCCAGTCTGAAAGCGAGGCTAACACAATACAAATGAGCCACAGTGATCATGTCCTCTGGGTCTGAATAGAGAATGGGATCTTCACACCTGCCAGAGGACAAGGAATGGATTTCTAACAAATTTGCAGCGATAAACACGATCGACGATACAAAAACAAGAAGGCTAAAATTTTACCTAGCAATCCTCTTTTCAATAACAAGGCTATGCATTGCATGCATTAAAACAAGGCTATGCATTGAAAAGGCAATGCTGGCTGACATTGGCTGCTGCAAAGCTAAATTAATTAACTGTTGCATAGTAGTAAATTTGATTATTGCTACAAGCATAACATAACAATGAAACAAGGCTGATTACTACKTAGAAAGYTTAACGGGACAACGACATGATAGAGTCCAAACTGAAAGCCAAGAATTGCAACCGTRGACAGCTGTTTCGACCTGGTTGGGTCTCGTCAGCACAGTGTAGCTGCAGCATTAAGAAGTAAAGCAACCGCCTGGTTGACCGATTTTCTACTAAATACGCATGGTGATGACTGCAAATGAAACTCAAATCCAAATGTTTGCGAATTGGCCAATGTCACATGCAAATGCGTGACAACGGACAATAGGCAAAAATGGTACAAAATATGCAGCCTTTGGTCAATAGAAGTTTATGCAACTTTTAGCACACTATACAAGAAATTAGAAAATGGATAACAATCCAGGAAGAAAATATGATTACAAATATGCTGTGATGTGTAGCTGAGTCACTAATACACAAATGTTAAATTTATATTAAATGTTACCTGTTCTTTCCAATTTCTTCGTATGTTTTTCCCCATCCTGTCCAACCAACAAGATGAGAACATTCGATAACTCCTGCATAGGCACTTATCAGCTGCAGAGAATAAACATTGCATAAACAGCCTTCACCCATTGACTCAATATCAAAATAGACATGGTAAAGGGACTGTCCTATTCTATGCACACTTCTATGGCAGATCTCATAGACTGGCAACTCTTCGTACGGTTTTTGACATTAGCCGAACTTACTTCATGAAGGTTCTCTTCAGCTTCCTCAGCGGCGTTCAGCTCCTGAAGGGCGGCCATGAGGGACCGATTGTTCTGATGTAGAGAGTGATACACGTGACTTAGGTGGCTTAGACAGCGGGATTGTTCAACTAATCGAGTTGAATTGTCTCTGAAAAATAAGAATGAATCACATAATTGAGTACAAAAAAGCAGTTGTCACAAGATGTTTCATGCCAAGAAATATTCTGTGCCTTACTCCTCGAGAAAATAGTTCAACTTCCGGTACGAACTCAAATGTTCAATTTAAAAATGGTCAAACTTGACATCCTTTTTACCGAAACAAATGGCTCGCGGGATATGGTGTTTACAAAACTCATTTTTTACAATACATTTAGACGTCTCAACAAAATTACTTACTACTACATGCTTAGATGTATGCAAACTTACCCAGCTCCTTCTATGTAGTAGCCAGGTAAAAACACATGCAAATAATGACGTAATGCTTCTTTTAAGATCTTGATGTAACATCCGAAGTCTGAGTTGGGTTGCTTCTTCCCCAGGATGCGTAGCGCCGCTGTCAGATGCGTGAGAGCTTCATGAAGACGGTTCATGTGGAACAAGGCCTGTAAATAGACATTCATCAATTTCTAGAAACTTAAAATACTTTTTTAAACAAAAACACTAAGTTTCGGACAAATTACCATTCCTAATCAAATTTTAATTCTTTCAGATTAGGGATGGCTCAGTGGTGAAAGCGCTCGCCTCTTACCAATGTGGCCCGGGTTCGATTCCGGCCCTGTGCTATATGTGGGTTGAGTTTGTTGTTGGTTCTCGCCTCGCTCCGAAGATTTTTTTGCGGGTTTTCCAGTTTTGCCCCCTCCACAAAAACCAACGTCTCCAAATTCCAATTCGACCAGGATAGAGGACCCGTATAAAAACCAGCTAAGGCTGATGTGCCTTCATCAAATTCATCAAAAATGACCACACAGATTGTCATTATATGGTGTGATTCTTAATCAAAGCAATTACATAGTAAGGAATATATGAGATGTTACATCAGTAAGTTAAAAGGGTTATCAGTCCATTTAGGTTCAGATTTCATACGCCCTACTCATAAGTCTAAGTAGCCGGCACATGCAACGTTATTTCTACGATGCCATGTTCTAGTTGTTTTTTAGATATCACAGCAGAAGCAAACATAGTTATGTAAGGTTCTCGATTGCTGGTACAGGTTAGAATTCGACTCTTGCCGGTCCATTCTGTGTTCAGGCTCCCAACCAACTGAATTGCTCACCTGACCAATGAGACTCTCGACTCGCGCCTTTTCTTCTTCAGAAGCCAAAGGTTCTTTTTCTTCCTTTGCCTGCTCGATCATGGTCTGCACCTCATGCAAGTAAGACAAGGCTCGCATGTTAGAGGAGGTGGCCAGTGCTGCAGCACCAGACTCTGTCAAGTAACGCAATGTCTTCAATCTGTTTCCACACGATCTCCAATGGTCAACAAGTTGAGGAAACACTGAGGCGAGCACCTCAGCACATTGACAGTTACTTAAGTCGATCACTCTTTGCTGAGCGTCTTCAGGGTCCCCTAAGTCGATGTCGTCATCGTATTCTTCTTCTCCTTCTTCTTCTTCTTGTTCCTCGAGTAAAGGAGTGGTTGGACGTTTGGGAGTATATCCTGGATAATCAAACCAATCATTAACTTAAGCTTTCAACCGCATTGCTTTTAAGTTTGGTGGAAGATCTTTGAAGATCGAAAGGCAGTGCATTCCGCTCCGAGGAATGAAACCTGTACAGTTTAAGACAGCTTGTAAAGTTTATAAAGTAAAACCTTGCAATGAAAATAAACACCACTTGCAGGATTTAATGTGGTTGCAAAACATTTAAGACATGTCCACAGGAAAACTGTATTTCTGTAAAATGGACTTAGAATCAATCAAGGCAAAGTTAAATAATATTGATCTCTGAGGTATTGCCATGCACATAAATCACATAGCCATAGGGACGAAAAAAGAGACATATGTATGCCTAAAACATGAACACTTTTATATCTTTCAAATAATTAATTTTCGATTAGTCGAGGAGACGGTTACCTTTCATATCAGTCAAATTTCGTTTAGTAGAGAATTTTCTGAGCTTTTTCTTCCCAATAACGCCTTCTTTCTGCTCAAGCAACTCTTTCTCAGGATCCACACTTTTTCGACGTTTAAAGAATCTCTCTAAGCAGCTAGGCCTGCGATCATCCACAGCTTGACCAACGACTGCATTACTGAAGGGCCCTGAAGTGGCGGCAAATGCACCTCCGATCCCAGTTTTCTCTATAAGCGTGGCTTTTTGGCTCACTACTGGAGACTCCGTTTTATCTCCTCTCTAGAAAATGCATAAAAGTAGAAATATTTACCAACTGACATGCTTCACATTTATCACCAAGAGTTCATAGCAAAACGTTAGGCGTGGTGATCAAATCGAACCGGTCATGCAAATTGAGGTAATCAAGTTATTGCTCCATCGCCAATTCAAATAATTAAGGTCGCTTTTTCTTGACCCTTAAAGTTTTTCGAGACGGGTTTACCAATTGAATGTTCTTCATCGAATCATACAACTGAGTGGAAAGTGGCAGAGACACATGGAACTAGTCAATCATGTCTCAAAACTACCACTGTAGATTGTAGATTACAGGAAAGGGTTTACTTTTAGCCAAAATCGGACTCCCTGGGGGAGAGGTTTATAGATGATTCCTTATTTAACCGTTTCAAGACGTACTTGTATGTTTGCTATGGTGTTTTGTTCAGCTCTTGAGCTCCGCTTTTATTAACTAAAACTCTGCAAAGTATTCTAACCAATAAAAGGAGACAAGGTATTTTCTCGACCAATGTTGACTCACGCCCGTTCTCTCGTAGTTGAACCTGCTAAGTGGTGCTCACGGTTATCAGAAACACTTCGAAAAACAAAGGGCCTCCAGCTTTTTCCCTAATAGCTTTCCATCATTATCTTCTCCTTTATTGATTGGTGTATTGTAAGCCCGCAAAGTCCCCATCATTTTGAAGGTGCAAGGGAGTTGCACAAACCTCCAGAGCACTACTGGTTCCTGGAGTCTCAGCAGATCTTTCATGCGCACGCGCAGAAAACGCTCCTTGACTCTGCACTTTGTCTCTCATCTCCACTGTTTTTCTACGTTTCGCCATCTTGGACGAAAACGCTCCTTGTGATCTCCCGGATGTACCTAAAAGTAACATTAATAAACATTCACCGTATTTATATAAACAGTTTTATAACACAATCTGAAAAGTCGCAAATATTGTTGTGAATTGTTTTCTTCATTTGACATCATCTAAAAAAATTCAGCCTCCCTGAGTGAGCCCTCATTAACTGGTGCCCAGTTCACTAAAATACTTTCATTTAAACAAGTTTTAAAAGGTGAAATCGCGGACAGTTTGAGTGATTTGCGGTTATTTCACTTAATTCAGTTAATTTTTGCTCAGTTTTTCCCTTAAACTGTGAAGCCTGTAAATTCTTCCTTCATCTCTCCTGTCCAACAATTAGACATGACTAGGCTGGAAGCTAATTCGAAAACCTAACGGTTCATTTAGCCTCCAGTCTCATTAAAAGAAGATTACAGCAGTTACTTTATCTGAAACATGCTATATATATTAAATAAACAAAAAATGTTATGATACTTATATTTGTATTGAGAAAATAAAGATGTTGCTGCTGTTGTTGTTGTTGCTGTGCTTGATACCAATATATACAAACGTGCCTTTTAAAAAAAATGTAAGGTTGAAGAAATCCATTATCCGAAAGTGTTTTTGTTCTTTTTCCCTTCTATTTTCCCAACAAGATAAAACGACTTGTCACTCACCGCTGACTTTTGGTTGTCCCTTGCCTCCTCGATCATCCTGACCTTCACCCACGCTAGCTACAAATCCTCCTCCACCACATGCCTTGCACTTATGAGCCTGCGATTCAAGAAACATGGCAGCTTTCTCATGCAGTTCCCTTTTTTGATCTTCGAGCCAAAGCGAGTATGTGGTCTCTTGAACATACGTGTTGACGAATTTCAGATTTAAGCAATGCTTTTTGGGTCCACTTGGAGTCATAAGTCGTGACAGGTTTATGACCTTGGTCATCTCGTCAGCATAGCAACCACAGTAGACTTGTGTATGGATGGAGCTTGCCACGTTGTGGTGATGGTGATGATGGTGATGATGGGCGTGGTGCTGAGCATGCGTTGGGTCGTTAAAGTCGTAGAATCCGTGATGATTGTGGGCGTTTTGATGCTGTAAAGCCAAGCTTGCACACTCTAGAATCGATTCTTTGGCGAGATTGTACAAAACCAAATCGAAGCTATTTCGAGTGGACCTCGGCAGAATCGCTTGAAGCACGCTTCTATGAAATTCAGAGCCTAAAATACTTGCGCATTTCAAGGTAACCTGCTCTAAAGGCATCATTCTATCCACACGAGCGAGCACCATGTCTTTGACGGACTCTGGAACAACCACTTTTGAAATGTCAATACCAGGACTGACGATGCAGACCTTTTTGGTGTCCAGCGGCATCGAATTCTCTGACGCATGTACAAAGTTAGCTGGGTCCAAATTGAACACGGGACCTTCCTGAATGGGATCCTCTTCCGGAAAGATACTACTTCGGCGGGACCCTCTGCTTGACTCTGGATCTGGCTCATGCATTGTCGCCTTAATTTCAAACTGGCTACTTGGTACACTAAGCTGAAAGGTGGTTCCAGTAGACCGTCGTCTTTCTTTTCGAGAAAACGTCAGCGCGTCCCCCAAGCTTTTTCTTCTCGGTTCCGAAATACTTGCCCTCCGCGACAGATCTTCGTCTCGCGATTGTCCATAAAATGGAGTTTTGGGTCGGGTAAAATCAACCAGTTCTTTGTGTTTTTGTAAAGCCGTGCTGGTATTAGAGCTGCATAATGAATTTATGACGTCCAAAGCTGGTTCTTTATCAGGGAAGGCTTGGCTCTCCGTGACGATCTGGATAACACTACTTGTGAGCATGTCCTTGATAAGTTGTTCACACCAGGACGCAATGCCATGACTCTTCTTTCGTAAGATTTCGTCCAACTCTTTGGGTACATACATTGCATCCATAAACTGACAGGCCAGATCGCTCATGTACTCGGCAGGCAGGCCATCTATACAACGAAATTAACAAAAAATACTCAGAGATAATTACAGTGCTGGTTGGCGGTTTTACATAGACACCTCGAAAGTTACTTGGTACCAAGCCACACATATAAAACGAATATGTGTCATTACAAACCCGTCAAATGATTTTCGTCTTCCATCTAGGCATAGTTAATAGAGGGAAATAGTAAGGAAACCTAGGGAAGTTCTTTCTTGTTTGTTTTTGTTTGCCGTTTTGGGGGGTTGACCCTGCACAAAACCTGGCAAAATACAAAAGGTGGTTATGTGTAATCATACATGTGATTCATGCATAGTCTATGAGCATAAAGCAAAAGGTAGGCAGGGTCAAGGACCTTCCAACATAAATCTTAGCCTGTTTATTTGCTTCTTTGATGTCTCCCGGCCTTCCAAACCATTTCCCTCTATTTGTGTTGTATCTCATAAAGGCCGAGTAGAAAAGCAATGTGGAAAACTTTAAATCATCAGTGCTATTTGAACCAGCTGAACCAACGTCAATTGGAGTATGGGGGTGATTGATGGGGGTGACATTTTTTCCCAGTAAAATTTTTCCAAGCCGCTTGAACATTTTTGATTATTTATTTGACAACGTAAGAAGCCTGCGGCATGCAATAGCCTGTTGTAAAATCCTACGGGAATTTGAGATCTCGGAAAAAAAAATAGAAGAAAGGAGCCGCAGGACAGTATGACAGTATGACAGCAGAACACATAGGGTCCTTCATATGCTCTATGATATCGATGCCGAACACACGTAAGACAATACGATTCTTTCTACGGTCTATTCTCTGATAAGCATAACCGTTTGGTCAATCGAGTGTGCAAAGATCCAGACTGCATTATAACCATCAGTCAGTCTACTAAGTCAACTGAGATACGATACCGTTTGAACAAAAAAAGTTGATAGACTAAAATAATAAGAAAAATTGTTTATTAAGTTTTCAATCGGACAGAATCAAGCCATAGCCAATTGAGGCCGAGATGGTTGGCGTTTCATTTGGGACACATTCAAATCAACAAATTAACTCACCCAACTTGATTTTCTTGGTCATATCATGTCCGATCAGTCTAATGGCTGCCTCGCACGGTGGGTTAGATGATGAAAAAGGCCTGAGCGATAGTACTAAGATGGCGTGAGAATCGGCAGAAAGGTCTTCAAGGAAGTCCCATGATTCTTCATCTATAAACTGCGCGTTATCCACTGTAAACAGACATGGCTGACTGACTGCGAACTGAAAGTAGAATTTCAATTGCAATGAAACCTCCAAAATTGCGTGCAAGCTTAAGATTAATTTAACATTCAATTAATTAATTCAACAAATGACTGCTAGTCGGTCATACTTTATACAGTTCTCGTTTCAGCGTAATTTCGTGCGTGTGATTCACTGGAATTAACAAAGAAAAAGAGTTTTTATAGAAAAATCCACACTGGACAGCCCTACGTTAGACAAATGCAAACAACATTTCCAGTAATGCGATTATCGTTAGCAAGGAGCCTGTTCAGGTATGCTTTAACGCTGAAGGTAAATTCGACGCTATTCCCAACCTGTAGTCAGTGACTATTGAAAAACATTGCAGAACACTCACCTGGTGAACAATGTCAAATAGAAGCGTGTGAAAATGTTCAGTTATTTGAGCTGAGTCCATATGAGCAAAGTCAGGATTTGGTGGAATCTGAATCAAAGAGATGACAGAGACCAGTTATCGATTTACAGTTTCACAAATTATGGGTATAAAGAGTTCTGTTTTTAGCATGGTAGAACTTGACTTTAGCGGGAACTTATCGCTGGTGGTGTCAATGCCTCAAAGGCTTCTCTGTTGGTAATTTCATTTTAAAACGGCTAACTTGTTCCCAAAATTTGGGGTGTTCATTGCCTGGGAATCAGGCAAGTATCACTGATACTAGTTGAACAATTGTTTTGATGCACATACACATTGAATAAACGAGTTGTTTATTCTAATTAGCTATTCAGGAATAGCTAACCGTTAACACAAAATTTACCCACAAAATGGTATTATTTTTCCCAACACTACTTTCTTACCGATGAAATACCTGGATAGTTCTAACTTGATCAATTGGCTGGCAGGAAACATGCTTTTCTTTACTTATTGATTAAATCTTGTCTAGACTAATGCGAATTCTCGTTGAGTCTTATCAGCTGAACTTTTCTATCGCCATATTTTCCTTACATGTGTGCCAAGCAGGTCATTCAACAGAAACATCTTTTCCCGCAGCTTTTGGTCAGTAATGTGCTCCTTCAGAGCATGCTCCCTTTCCGAGGTCGTTCGGCAGGTGTCCAGCTCTAGTAGGTTTGTAATGAGAGTCTGCACTACGTAATAAGGGGTGTGCGCATGCGCCATATCAGCCTCCACGTAATCAACTCTGAAAGTCAATCAAACGTTATATCCTGAATATGTCAACTGATAAACTGAGAAGTAAGGAGACGAGGCTCGTAACATTAGATTTTGTTCAAAAGCTGTTTGTGAAAGTGTTTTTGTTGGCAAACTTCATAAAATAAATATATCTTACTAGATGTTTTGGCCTGTAGTATCGCTGTATATTTTTACGAGTTGTACCGTATTTTGACGATCCCGTAGGGCGAGTCAAAATACAAACGAGTACAAATATAAAGCGATACTACACACCAAAACATCTAATGAGAGATTTATTATCCAACTGGTGTAGTCAATAAATTTATCAACGAAAGAGGGAGAGTGTGACAGTTTTGCGTGCGCGCGACGACTTGTACGGCAAACAGGTTTTCTACTGTACAAATAACTGTACAATATCGCTGTATATTTGTACTGTTATTTGGACGGTATTCGCTGCAGTTGGATAATAAACCGATTTAATCGAGTGTCATTTTGCTTGAATAGCAGGTTCAGCCAATCTAAAATTAAACTGCAATCAGGCCGAGTTTTCTTCGCGTTCTCAAAAAGAAGAAAGACCCTGGGAACGAGGTAGTCATGCATCATTATTATTGTACGTTCTCTAGTGTGGTCGCACGAAAAAACAGGTAGTTTTTCTAGCGACTGTTGTAGGGACAGCGGTTGATCGCAAAAAATATAATATTTTTCTTTGTTTTTACCTTTGTTTGTTTGTTTAACGTTTGTTTGTTTGTTTAATGCTTTTTTGCTTGTTAGTTTGACTCTTAAATGCACATAGCGCAATGAAGGCGTTTTACAGCTGGGGGAAATCTGCTTGCTTGCTCGCTTGATTGATCGTCAACGTTTTAATAGGCCGCATCAATACAATAAAGACAACCACGTTAGAAGCTACAGAAAGCTTAAAACCGGGCCGGGTAATGTTTAACTGCCTTTGCGTTTAACAACATTACAGTTGGTGATAGCTTGACGTTCCTAATCTGATATACGATAGCATCCCTTCATACTAAGTCTTCTCTCCCCTAAATGCTGTTTTTTTTTTTCGTTTGTTTTGTTTTGATTTTTTTTTGGTAGATTCAAGAACCTTTCTTACTTGAAGTTTTCATCTTCTGCAATGTCCATAAGCGCCTCCAGCACTCTGGTTTTTCCAATTCCTCCTTCTCCTTCTATCACCACAACTCTTCTATTTCCACTTGTATGAGTGTCGTCACATTTAATGGCGTGCAATAGTTCCCTCATGTCGTTTATCTCCTTTCCTCGACCTGTACGTTTCGAAGCGAATTTTTTTTTGCTACATGAGTTTCAAAGTTCGACAACAACTACTTTCATAAAATCCTACCAAATAAGTT